TGTGAACTCTGCTGCGCACTGTCCGTACACTTTGTTCAATTAGTGTGATCACCTTGCGTCAGTGGGTTTTTAAAGCGACCCTTTAAGTCATTATCCGAAGTTGTCTAGTAATATGGCATAAATCGGTGAAATGATAGTTGTAAAGGAAGGAGTGCGGGCTTACAGATTCAGTGTATTTGATTTAATATGTGTAAAGCATCTCGGACAACCGAGATCGCGAATTTATGCTGTTGCATAATCAGATGCGATGAAGCGGCCAAATAAAAACTTAAGTGACGAAGGGTAATATCAGTTTGTTCCTCCTCAAATTGTATTTGTTGCATAACGTAACCCAAATAGTGTAGAAAGGTGTATTAATTTCTAAATGCACGGCTTGTACTATGGGAGGGTGCAGATAAGAAGCTCACAATCTGCTGATTTTTTCATTAATCACTGACAGACCAACAATCTGAAAAATGTTGGACAATGATTTGTGGAAATTCATTCCACACACTAAACGTTATAGATGGACAAAATCGCACCAATATCCGTCACTAGTTTGCTTTCTTGAATCAAAAATTGAGCTTTAAAACTCGCACTAATGTTTTCGCTTTGTTGCATACCGAAGAATAACATTGAACAATAACATGAAGCATTTTTTGAATCTTCTGTATTATGGTGCGAAGTATTAGCTCTGTTCTAATAGCAGATTCTTGCGCAAGCAAGCGAGTAAGCTGCGTCGTTTCGATTGAATTAATGCAGCAACGAATTATTACACCAAAGCCAATATCGACACAGGTTACTAAGCTCCATAAATAATGTGAAACCTCCAATAAGAAGCTGACCATTTGGTAGTGATACTTAAAGACAAAAAGCGAACTGATGCCGACTTGGTTCAAAAAACCTTATAAAGTAAAGGCATAAAGTGAAATAACTTGCAGCGTACAGACTGAACCATTCTTCGTGGATATTCGTGCACGAATCTTTCGCGATATCAAATGATGTGGTTGGTGATTCTGGACCGATTCAGTAATGACAGTCTCGATTTCTAATTCCGTTTGAAATCTTCAGTTATGGCGAAACTCGTCAAATGAATAATCAGACAGAAAGGAATCAAAGTATCTGAGCATTTGTAGCATAGAAATCAATCGGCCATTGCAAGTATATTGGCTAAATATCCTTTGGACGTGCGAAAAGCACACCTCCTTAATCCTATGACCCCCAAAACCGCGAAAGCTCAAGAATAGGTAGTTCGTGCAGCCACGCATCTGAACGATACGCACAGTGGTCAACTGCGAACAAAGGTTTAAAGAAAGACTGGGCGTCCGTTGATAAGATCTGGATCTGACGTGATGCGTGCCAAGTCAACAAGTCAATAATTATGCCGGCACAGCAAAGGTAATAGGCACCCTATTTCTCAAAATTGGCAAAGTATTTAGAAAAGTTCTACTACCGGCCATGTTTCATGTAGCATGGTCAAACAAAAGAATGAACCAGCCAAATTCAAAGTTAAGTTCAAATGGAGTTTGGGCTCTGAATCAGATGCAGTATCACTTTTATTTCATTTCTGTAGTGTAGTGATTCACTGATACTGTCATGGGGCTTTGTTAACAGTTTGTTTGATATGGCCGCGTAAACACTTTAGAGACCGTGTCGACAGAGCAATATGTACCAATAAACGATTCAAGCCATGCAGTTGAAAGTAACCTTCCGTGATGCAGAAAAAGAGCAACAATTTTATCATGAAGCACAGATTAAGAACTTTAAGCGCACTGCGCGGGAAATCCACTTCAGTCTGTGCACTGCTCCAACTATTCTACAACGCACCATGGGTAAATCACCTTAAACAAATATGTATATCATAGGAAGCACAGATAAGAGCCTTGACTATGAATAGGCGCTTCAGTCATCCACGACCGGATTTTAAGCAGTATTTTAGTACGTTTGACGACCCATTTATGAAGCTTGTGGCACTGCATGTAGTAATGGAACATCCGCAAAGCAAAAATGTACCAGTCACCCTATTATTGGCTAGAAACGTAGTTTATGACGTGCATGGTATTTATTGCGTTCATTTTCAAGGGCTTGTTATTCTTTTCGATTCGCGAGTGCAGCTGCGTCAGCGGGCTCTTCCATTCGTTTCGTTAGAGTCAGGTGAACAAGCTCATTGGTCCAGATTGTTAGGTGCAACAATGCCAAACTTATGTCTAATCGAGCTATCCGGTCTGCAGTTTGCCTTTTGACCGCTTTCAAGGTCACCTTGTCAAGGGAGAACGCTTGGTGAGTCTTCTACAGCTACTTCGTCACTTGTCCAAATCTTCACAGTTGTAATAGCTCGATCGTATTGGAGCTTCTCAAATAGAGGGTTCTTTACACTACAATGTAAACTTCGTTTAGTCTCATTATTACAGCAATCTTTGAATGAAATGTCATTTCTGCAACTTGAGTCCTGGATCTCATTCTCATCCACTTGACTCACATAAGAAACACGTTCTTTCAATATTATGGTAAAAATAAACTTGATGTCATTCCTGGTATGTTTCAATCTGGAGTCCTCTGCTTGTTTAATCAGCAAAACAAACATCAAATACGCAGCTTACATGAGCAACGTCATGGTTCATACTGATTTGGTGCGCAGAGAATGGTACTTTGCCGGAAAAATTTTCTTTCCATGGTCGGATATGGAACAGCATGTAAAGGATCTTCTCAAAATAGCATCCACATTTCAGAAGAAATTCATTTGGAGAGTGGCGATGCAGTGACGAAGAGGTCGACTTTAAACTCAGAATGCCAAATTCCAATCCGCTGAAGAAACAACTTTTGTCCTATGCGCGAATTCCTTTGAGAAATGAATTAAACCTACGTTTCTTTGGCACAATCAGCCAAGATGCTAAGTAAGGGCACTAAGTCGATGACTTGCAAGAGATACGGACAGCATGATACTCTGGTCTGGTGATGAACGAGGTATATAACCATGTGGTCCAATGCAGACTTCCCCTGTGGCTGCGATTCTCTCTGACCCTCCCCTCCACCCTGAATGCTGACTATCCAATCTAGTAATCAGCACGGGGTGTAACCCCCATTTCGGCTGAAAGACGGTGACTTGTGAATTGAAAGAGCCAAGGAACATGGCATGAGTGATATGTGGAGATTGCGAAAAAATAAAATAACTGGACCTTTGCACCTCTAGGACGGCGGAAATGCGATGAATATGCATTGCTTGATTTGAACGCTATATCGTCGTTGCAATGCTTTGCTGCCGTTGTTTCACTTTCATGGTGCTGTTCTCAAACTGTCTGCAGCTAAATGTTTATCAGAGATCCGTCACTGATTTCAGAGCTATTCTGGTATCCGAGAGCTCTCCCACCATCAACAACCTAGCAACATCAGTGGCATTGGACTTTGCTTGGTCAAACCGCTGATAAAAGGAATGAATGATGCGGCTTAATATTAAAAAAAATCCATCGAAGAATAGAAGTTGATTATCCACCCTGGAGCCATGATGTATTTAATCGGCATTCTGGGCTTCTAAGTACAAGAAATAGTGGTATAACTGGCGATGCAAACTGGGTTATGTGGTGTACGCTGATTTAGATGGTTGAAGGTACGTCATACCCGCGTATGCACGCTATGGTACCTGGTCTAATATCTGAAAAACCACCGATCACCTTAGCGACTTTGCATGTCCGATTCAGGTCATCGCGATACTCTCTTCCCATTGCCAATTTTTCATCTGAGGAAATCAAATTTAATTAAACCTCGAGGTATTCACGTTTCACCTTCTAGAGCGATCAGTTTTCACTGCATAATAAAGATTTGTAGTCTCCTGTTATCCGTCTTTACTAAATCTTATCTGATTGTAATGTAAACTTTGCGTTGGTGATTACTTCAGCGTTAACGGGTCTGCTGCAGCTTACTTACTTACTTACCAGTTTACTTAAACTGCTCGTTTGCTATACTGATCAGCACTGCATCGGTAAAGTGGATGAACGCTTCGTAAACAGATCGACTTGCTCGCCGTGTTAAGTACAGTGTACTGCTGTTCATCGTGCGTGAGCCTAATGGCTAGTTTGCTCTTCGTGTTTTCTCTTGTTGCCCAGCTTTCCACAGTTGCTACTTATGGTTTTTATTTAACCTTCACCCAGAAACTTGATCACTTTCAGTCGACAGACAATCGAACTTGGTTGCAGGTAAAATCTCTTCATTTCACTGTGCAAAAAGCTTGATGCAACTCATATATAAACGTTCCTTCACTGAGATTTGCTTTCGAAATTCATTACAACCCTTTATATAGTTCTAATCAACACAAATACATACTTTCATTTATTTTATGTGCAAATTATAACTGATCGACAATGCTAATTAAGAAACATATAAATTGTTAATCCGTCATTAGTTTTCACAATTAGCTTCAGGTCTGTTTTTTACGCTGCAGTGCACCACGTTTGCATAGAAACGGTTTGTATTTTGTCGGATTCGTTTGTTATTCGCCGCAAGAATTTCAATCAAGAAGTTAACTCTAGAAAAATCTGATTGCTTAACAATTAAAAGTACTGCATGATGACAACAACATCCTCCGTTAGATGGACGACGGCATGGATGTAAATCAAAATTATTTAATAACGTTGCAGGATTTCCTTATGTCCTCAAGCAAGCGCTGTTTCTTTGCCACTTCCCAATATGTAACTCACCTACTAATGCCTGAATTTTCTGTCCTCCTTATCCATGGCATGTCATCCTCCACTACGAAGTTATGCGAAGCAGTAAGAAGAGATTATTATGAATTCTTTTGAGATTAACACTGGTGGCGATCTGAATCCTTCTGTCCGGGTTTGTAATCCTGAACGCCCTGCTTTTACTTAGAACCTTTTCAGAAGGCTTAAAGCGCCATGTTAGCTCCGCTTACTAGAGCTTTGTTAGCTCAACGTATTCCTGCTACTGTAGCGATTGAGGACTATTCACACAACCGTACTTTACAGTACCTCTCAATCTAATAGTTTGTTCTTTCTTTGGCGTTTATAATGAAACCATCGTCGTGGAGTATGGAGAGCTGTAACATCGACGAAATAAGATATTTTGCGAATTATGATTGCATTCGAAGCAGAACGACTTTCTTCGCATTTTGTGCATGAAAGGTTTGTAAGTACGTTTATGATTTTAAGTGGTTATACTTCGATATCATTATGTGACGTATTGCTCTTAATTACTAAAGTATAAAGCATTAGCTAGCTTCAATACTATACGAAAGTTTTCAACTTCGTAATTTGCTCATGCACATATTTCTGTTTGCTTTGACTAACATTATCTAAAAGACTGCAACTCATATTTTGCGAAAATTTTCTTAGTTGAAACTAATTTGAAAACAATCATTTACTATAGCTTAAAATAATATTTTAGCGCTACTATTTTGACGATAGTTATACTACACTTTCGAAGAATAGCCCTGTCTTCGTTGTTATTGGTGGACAAGAAGCTCTGCAGCAATCAACCGATGGTAAGATTTTAATTTACTAATAGTTATATTTTTGAAATTATCAAACTGCACTATTCAAATTTTAAATGAACGAATCTATTTAAATTATGCGCGTGGGTTCATTCCAGGCGAGGAGTTAATTATTTGAGTTAAACTACTGATTGAGAGAATAAATAAATCGGATTTCAGGTATAGTAGAATATTTGGCAGAACAGAACCACGCGCTGCTCGTCTACCTGGAACACAGATATTATGGGAAAAGTAGACCGACCAGGTTAGTTAATGAGTGCTTAAATGCGTGATGTATAGAACGGTTTTAGTTCGCTGTCAAAGAGTGATCTTACCTGGTTGAGCACGGAGCAAGTTTTGGCAGACACTGCGAATTTAATAGCTTATTTTAAAAAGACAAGGAACAATCCATCGATTGTCGTATTTGGTTGTGGCTATGCCGGTGACAACGCGCATTGAACTGAGTAACAGTTGCACGGTGATGTGATTTAAGGATCTCTGGCTGTCTGGTTTCGATTGAAGTATGAGCATTTGTGCAACGGGGCTGTGGCCTTTAATGCGCCGCTCGAGCTGAAAGCAGACTACAGTGGTAATTGCCAACGGTGTTTAAGTGATCAACAATGCACATGATTTTGAACAGAGTATGTGGCGGGAATCTTGACAGAAGCGGATAGAGTAGCTGAAGGCTGCAAGGCAGCGACGACAGCGGCATTCGAGGAAACCCATCGATTACTCGCTGAAAACAACTTATCGGAACTATCGCAGTATTTCAGGTAGGCATCTCTCCGCTTTTGTTCACGTCAGAATTGCATAATACGTGCTTGAAAATTTCAACAAGGACGTCACCGAACGACGATACACACTTTCATTGCTCGCTTCTAACTTTTTTGCTTCAGCAAGATAATTCTTTAAAGGTCGTTCCACACGCGCGTTTACTAAAATCCTACGACTACTAATTACCAAACCTCAAAAGTAGGAATGGTTTATTCTAATCGTAGGCAAATATTCGATTTCAAAACTATTAACAACTGAAATTTAGCACAATTTTCACCTAGTTCATAAAGGGACAAGTTTAGATTAGAAATGCTACCACTCAGCTTATTCTTTGACTCTTTGGCTGGCAGTGGCATAATAGGACGAAGCTGGCTTCGAATTACAATCATGTCGGGTTTCGGTCCAGACAAAAGTTTTTTCTAATCGCTTACTCCCTTGAGCAAGGAATTCAATCCCACGTTGCTCCGGGCAACCAACCAAGAAACGCGTAGCGAGTCATTGACTTACGAACAACAGGGAGTGTATGGCATGCTAGAGTGATCGTACAAGAGTGAACAAAAGCTGCGGTCGTGCTGCCTGACGCGAGCAGCCAGTGGCTACACTTCTCTATGACTCATGTGATAGTTGACTATCCAGTTTGAGAATGAACATGATGGGGAAACTTTGCTGCTGTTAATCTTCATCTTCCATCACTGCTTCTACTTTCCGGTCGCGGAGGCAGACGCGTCAGAGAGAGCGTCCAACGTTTCCAATTCTGTGCCAGAGTCTGAACTTCGGAAGAAGACAACTGGAGCCTGGAACAGACTCCTTCCATGTATTTGCACCAGGTTAATCTTGGTCGTTCCCTGGGTCTTCTGCCGGTCGGATTTGCAAGGAACAGTTGCTTACCCTTCCTTTCTGGAGGCATTCGCAACACATGCCCAAG